ATAATCATAGCTCCCATTTATATGATGCTTTAAAATTAGTCTTTCTTTACAATACCATGAAATGTTATAAATATTTTCCCACTTAGTGAGTGAGGAAACTGAAGCTAAAAAAAGTGACATGATTTGCACTTGATGGCCCAGCTGCTAAGTGTCAGAGTAGGGATTTGAACATAGATCTCCTAATTCCAAGTCTAGCAGTTTTTTCACTATACTATATTGTCTCCACTTAGGGAAATCCTACCATTTTCAAAGTCCAGCTCAAATATTATCTATGTGAAGCCTTCCCTGACCACTGAAGCCAGAGTGATTTTTGTCTATTATGAACTCTATTATAGCACTTATTGTCTGTTATTTTATAGTTCACTTGACAATATAAGGCAGTAAATGATATTTTATCCTTAGTATGGCTTATCTCCCCAACTAGATCATAAACTACCTGAACAAGTCTGTTTAGTTCCATGGAATCTAGCATATTACCTTGTAAGCCTAGTATTTGCTCCATGTAAATCCTAATGGCTGAACTGCTTCAATCAGCTATTCTCTAACAGTAATTATTTTACTTATATCAGCAAGCACCATTTTAGTATGCCAAAGACCCTGAAGGAGAACTTTAGCTTTACCTTAATAAACATTTAGGTTGGTATTGTTTTTACACAGTCTCTGTTTTATTTTACGTGTTAATTGTTATGTTCTAGCCACTACTCTTTCTAAAAGGTAATAGCTTACAAATAGCAAGTTTGCAAAGCCCTTTGACATCTATCTTATTCGGCAAATGCCCGAGGAGTGGGCCTCCATGGTAAAATAAGTTGGTATTTGTTTTACTTTGGTATTTTGCTTTCTTATACAATGTTGCTGCTCTTAGAGTTGAGGAAACTGGGGCTCAGAAAGGTCAAGTGTTTTGCCCAGGGTTCCAAAGCTAATTATTAGTGGCAGAACACAAATTGAGGCCTAATAACTCCAGGTCCACTGCTTCCCTAACACCAGTGGTTCCCCATCTTTTTTAGGATGTGCACCCAACTGATAAAATTTTGTAGCTCCTCACATGATAATACTACTGTCAGTAGTATCTGATGCATAGTAACCTATTCTGAATTGAATAATGCTTTTACATGGCTGTGTATCCTAAACACTAGAGCATCTATTTACATTTCAAAGACAGTAAAATATTCACATATAGGTAACTGGCTTCCAGGTAGGGAATCCACAGTACTGTACTAGACTGACCCTTCTCTAAAAAAAGAAACAGTGCTACCAGGAGAAGGGTTTAAAAAAAAAGTAATTACTGAATAAAAATTAATAGAAAAGTTCAATTTTGTTAAGATTTACCTTGAATATAAATTTAAAATATTAAAGATTTTTTTGAGTTTGATTTATTTAAAAGATCCAGTTGCTGGTGTTTCTGGAATTACCACTTCAAGTCCAAATCTGTGAAAGCAGGATAAAGCAGATGATGATGATGATGCTAGTTTCTTGTATTGAGTGTTTGCTTTGGGGATTTTTGTGGCTTATTTTTCATAAATCTTGGGATACTATTTGTCATTCAGAATTTGTTTATCTGAAAGTGTTTTCTCCCTCTGTATTATTTCAGACAATTTGTTCTATTCTTATAGATATTTACATTCTTTAAGTACTTATCTCTTACTTTAGCTATGGGCTTGGGGGTGAGGGAACAGACCCAAGATAACCCATATTGAGGTTATGATGAAACTAGAATTCATTGACCAGAAATTCAATGCAATGTTTATTAAGCATTTACTATATACAGTATACCAGGCTAGATCCCAAAAACTATTTCATCCCCTCCTTCAAAGGAATTTTAATCTAATGGAGGAGAACAGAACTGTACAGATAGGTATGATACAAGGTAGTAATGACACCTGCATTTATATAGCATTATATAGACATTATCTTATTTGATCCTCACCAACCCTGTTAGGTATTATTTTCTCCATTTTACAGATTAGCAAAGGAAGGCTCAGGAAGATTAAATGATTTTCTAATACCTTAAATACTAATAATTAGCAGAGATAGGATTCTTATTCAGGTCTCTCCTGACTTTTGTTGTAGCACTCTTTCCTTTCTACTGTTATTTCCCTAGATAAAATGTAATAAGGGCGAAGGAGAGATTTGGCAAAGGTGCTACTGAAAATTTGAGGAGAATGAAATTACTTTCAGGAAGAAGAAAACAGAAATGAATGGTTTCATTGAGAAGGTGGTGTTTATGTTGGTCCTTGAAGGAGGGATTTCAAAGAGGGGATAATGAGGAAATGTGTTCCCACTCTGTACAAGAGCCTGTATGAACACACAAAGGAGAGAGAGGACAGATGTACTCTAAAATTCATAATCATCCTTCCTGGTTTGTGGTTTGGATAAAAGCATTGATAGCGTGCCTCTCAAATTTGCAGGTGACTTAGCTGTCAAGGATAGTTAATACAGAGGTTAATAAAATCCCAAATGCTATTTATTGGCAAATTAGAACATTTGGCCTGTATATATAAAGTATAAAGGTACAGGGTGACTAAGCAAGTATAAAATGGCAGAGACATGAGGAGACAAAAGTTTGAAAACAATTGAGTGTTGTTGTAGTGGACAGTAAGTCCAGTATAAGTGAATTGAATGACGTGACAGCTCAAAAGGCTAATCTAGTCTTAAGTTCCATTAAGAGGGAGGCATACCTCCAGGAAAAGAGTGATATGAAAGTCCTCTATAGTCTTTCCTGGTCAAACCACAGCTAAGCTATTGCGTTCCGTCTTGGGCGCTACAATTCATTCAGGACATTGCTAACCTGGACAGTATCCTGGAAAAGGCAATTGGAGTTGGGAGGAGCCTCAAGTTTATGCCATATAAGGATTGGTGGAAGGCTTAGGGGAGACACATCTATTTGTTTTAAAGGGATATTATGTGGAAGAGAGACTGCTGTTTGGTTCCTCTAGGCTGAATGAGGGATAGTGAGTGGAAATTCTAAATAGACAAACTTAGGTTTGCTGTATCTAAATAATGAACTACTTTAAGAACGAAAGGCCACCCATCATTGGGAATCTTCAGACAAAGGCTGTTTTTTACCATTTATTGGGTATGTTGTAGTAGAGAATCTCAATTATGGGTTGGACTAGATGGCCTCTGAACTTCATTTTCAGCTCAAATTGTGATGATTCTGTGAGAGGTAAGAAACGATTATGTTTCCATATAAGGAAATTGAGAGAAAAAGTAGCTCAGAGGTTCTAGTACAGGCTGAAAATGGATGAAACTGGTTGTTTGGTTAAAGAGGTCGAAGGAGGACAAAGTTAAGCCTTACTTAAAGAGTGCACGCGTAATAGGTTCATTAATAATAACTCCCAGAGGGGAGCAGTAGCAAAGAACTAGGCACATTTCATGTGTTAGCGGGAAGAGGGACTAACAGGAATATTGTAACCCAGAAGGGCAGGGACCAATCCAGGCTCTGAAGGGAGGGACAAGAAGGAACTAACTGCATAAAAGGCTTGCTCTGGTGTCTTTCTGTGTGTGTGTGTATGTGTGTCCCTTTTTCTTTTGGGGGGGGGGAGAGGTTATCACACACCTGGTTCTTTTGCAAGAACCGTAAATAAATAAACATCCCTTTGTTCACTTCAGTTTAAGTTTTGTTTCTTAAGGGAGGACGAAACTCCGAATGGTATGTTTCTAGGGGAGCAGTGAGTTGCTGGAACATGTTTCTCACAATTCTGAATTTGTGTTTTATGGTTTCATAGATTGAAAGTTTGAAGGACCCATTGGAGCCATTTAGTCCAGTCCTCTCAGTTTATACATTTAGGAAATTGGGGCCCCAGAAAAGGTTTGTGTTTTGTCCACTATCTTTCTCTTTGGAAAGAGCATCTGAGGTTGAATCATATCTTTAGTATTTTCCAGCTTTGTGATCTTGGGCGTTATTGTGCCTGCCCTGCCACATCCCTTCCATCAGTTGACATTTTTCTTTTTTGCCATCTTTGCTGGTGTGATGGGTGGGAGGTAGAACCTTGTTATTTCATTTTTTAAAATTGATTTATTAATTACTCAGCATTTTTAAAAAAAAGTTTGAGTTCCAAATTCTCTTCCCTCCATCCATTAAGAAGGCAAGCAATATATCAATTACACGTGTGAAATCATGCAAAACATTTTCATATTAACCATGTTTTTAAAAAAACAAGAAAAATAAAATGAAAAACTTACGCTTTAATTTGCACTTTGGAGTTTATCATTTCTCTCTTTGGCGGTGTATAGCGTTTTTACTTTACAGTAATCAGAACTGTCCAAAAAATAGAATAAGTGGACTTGTTACTGAGTTTTCCTCATCAGCAGATTGTTTAAACAGGGGCTATGTGATCAATCATCTGGCCAGAGATATTTGTAGAGGGTATTCCTGCATTTGGTGGGAGATAGTAGATTAGACGTCTAGGATCCTTAAAATCCTCTGATTTGCCCATCCCATTCTTTCTGTCTGTGCTACTACTGCTTCTAGGCATTGATTTCCTTCCCCCAAATGACATCATTCGTGGCACTCAGGTTCTTATTTATATACCCCCATTCATCTCCGTATGAGCCTCTGTGACCTTTCCATCTCTTATGAGAGCTCTTTGTGTACTCCTTACCTTCCTCCCATCCCCAGAACTTCCACCTGCTTCATACCTCATCAGAATATTTTCTGTGCTTCAGTTCTAAGATGAGGAATGAAAGAAGAGAAAGAGTCTCTTCAGATGTCCAGGACTAGCAGGAAAATTGTGTTCCTGGCATCCCTACTTCGCAGTTGCAAGTCCAAACCTATTTTTATATAACAATAATTAGAAACTACAATACTACTTTTGCAATATTTTGCATAGTCGGCTTTTTGAGATAGCTGGAAACCTAAGCACAATTATTAGCAGACTCCCTAGTCAGAGCTGTTTTACAAATGCTTTTTGAAATACAACCCATTCATAAGTCGGGAAATGCTTATAGAACCATTAAAAAGGCACATCAGTATTTAAGAATATATTTCACTATGATTATAGGTAACTAAATGACCATGGAATCTGGTGCAGAGACCCAACAGAGTGGCGATGCAGCTATAACGGAGGCAGAAAATCAACAGATGGCTGTACAAACACAACCACAGATTGCAACATTAGCACAGGTATAAGATAATTTTGGAATTTTCGTTAAACTGTATAATTTCCAAGAGGAAATGTGTGTTTTGGATTAAAAGAAAATAAAATTTTTAGTGTAGTGGCATACCTGGAATGAATGGAGAAATATGAAATTTTAGAAGTTATTTTCCTTTAGATAAACATAATTGTTGTAAACAACTGTTCATATAACAAAACTGAAAAGTACCCACTGTTATTCAAGGCTTTTTCTAGTTATAATTTTTAAATATTCATATTTTTCCCTAATATTTAGAAAGTGCTGTTTGTTTAGAGGAAAACACCATTCTTTTTTCATTGTGCCCATTACTCTGGAGTACTGACCCAGAAGATAGGACAAATAACAAATAGCTTCATTACCACATTCAAGCATGTAAGTTTCCAAGATAGTAGTTTCATATCTTTTGTCTACAAACAGAAGACAATACAGTATGATAGATAGTGGAGAAGTCATAGAGTCAGGAAGACTTAGATTAAAATTTCATCTCTGATGGTAGCCTGGGTGATCATGAGCATGACATTTAGTTCGTGTGAACCAGTTTCCTCATCTGTGTGATGATAATGATGTAGCTAGCATTTATATAGTACTTTAAGGTTTGCAAAGCACTTTACAAATAATATCTCACCTGATCCTCACAACAACCTTAGGAAGTAGGTGCTGGTATTGTCACTTTTTAATGGATGAGGAAATAGAGGTGGTCATAAGTTAAGTAACTTGCCAACGGTCACACAGCTAGTAAGAGTCTGAGGCTGGATTTGTCCTCAGGTCTTCTTGATTACAGTTCTGTCACTATCCACTGTACCATCCAGCTGCCTCTGATAATCATTTTATAGTATCTGCCTCATAGAATTGTTAAGAGGTTTGGATGAGGGAATAGACATAAAACGTTTTGCAAACTTGAAGCGTTATATAAATCAATCCTTATTAAAACACATTTTAACATAAACATAAGTGGCATATGAATAAAGGGCCAGCCTTGGAGTCAGAAGGTTCAGGGTTCTTACTACCTACCTCTTTTACATACTGGCTGACTGTGACCCTGGGTGAGTCACTTAAACTTGGAATGCCCTAGGCAGTTCTCCAAGCCTGGAAGTTGCAAAGCAATTGCTCTTCCATATTGGTAGGAGTTTCTTCAGCTTGGGGAGGTCAGGGCATGATTAATTATTCCATAGCAATTACATCACAAGTGAAGATCAGAAAATAATCCCCTATAAATAAAGTATTGTCTTTTCTTTCACTTTCTCCAGACCATTTGTATTTGCCCTTCTATCTATGAAATCATATCTTCATAGCCCTATTAATATATATTCATTATTTTTTTCCCTGAATATGAAGTATCACCTTTTTCATTCACTCCTCAAAGTTCTTAAATGTGTATTCTATGTTGACATAATTTTTCTTCTTATATTTCTGATCACTGTTGTTCTTTAATATCAAGAAAAAAACTATTAGTGATATTTTGAGCATTATTTACACATATAGATTTTAATAATGATAAATAAAGATACATAAATAAAGATACATGAAAAGCATTGTGTCTAGATGAAAATTCACCCATTTCCCTTGTAACTCTGTAGGTTATATCAAGTTACTCTCTGAAACCAAGTAGAAAAAAGAATCTTGTATTTGTATGTGTTAATCCCACAGTCCTACAAAGGACTTTGAACATGGATTTATTGCCACCCTTTCTACTGATCTACAAGGGAGCAATATTGGACTCATTTGAAATAGAATTTTTTTTAATATTAATTAAATGATTAATAATTTATTTGTAAGTTACATATATGACTTATAGTAAATCTTTTATAAATGTGTTTTAGAAACATTTAACCTCCCTTTGGGAGTAACTTTGTTTATTACATCTTTTTAAAATAATGTTTAATTGTATAAAAATTTCATTTTTAAATTTCAATTACTTCTAACATTGGCATTGGATATGTCAACTTTAAGCTAAACCCAAAGTTTGGAACTATGCAAAGTACTTCATTTTGTTCCTGAAGGGTCTGCTGTAGGATCAAATAATGGAAGAAGAAACAAATATATTTAGTAATTTAAAAAATGTTACATTTCATAACTAATTTCTTGTACCTAGTAGAATATTTCCCAATTGACATCATATTTTTATTGTTGAAAATAATTTTAGTTTTGAAAATGAGTAGTACAGAGGAAAGAGTTTTAAAGTTAGAAAAACTGATTTTAGGACCTACTGATCTTTTCCACTTCTGTGATCCAAGGAAAGTCATTTAACCTTGGTAAAATAAGGTTATTAGTACTTGACACTTACTAGCTCAAGAGTTGTTGTGAAGATAGTACAGAATCAGAATTTCCAAGTTGGAACCTTTGTTTAAACTGTTCCTAAAAAAAAGAATTCCCATTGAATCATATCTGATAGGGAGTAATCCATCCTTTGCTTGATGACCTTCAGCAAACGGTTCCTAAGATAGCCTATTTATTACCTTTGTACAGCTCTTATTATTAGGAGATTTTCCTTTACATCAAGCCTAAATTAGCTTCTTTATAACTTCTACCCATTGTTCCTATTCTTGCCCTCTGGACCCAAAAAGAAAATTTCTCATTCCTCTTTCCTGTAGCAGCTCTTCAAATCCTGTTATGTTCCCCTTAATTATTTTCTTCTCCAGCCCAAACCTCTTCAGTCCATTTAACTGTTCTTCATGTGGCATGACCTTGAGGGCCTTCATCATCCTGTTTGTTCTACATCTTGTTGCTACCTTTCCTAACTTTGGAATCCAAACTAAACACAATTTTCTAGATGTGCTTTAAGCAGAACAGAATACCAGGGGACAGCATTCATTCATTCAATAAACATTTATAAAGCACTATATGAGTTAAATGCTGTGTGAGAAACACAGGGCTAAGACCTTGGTCATTATGCCACTCATAATGCAGTCTATGATAGTAATGTTTTTTTTGCTTCTATATCATTCTATTGGCCTGTTGAGCCTGTAAAATTCACTATAACTTTTGTCATATGAACTGCCATCTAATAAAGTGCTACATGATTTTGAGCTGCTGTTATTAGCCCTAATGTATCTATTATAACGTTTTCTCTATTTTTGTAGGTTTCTATGCCAGCAGCTCATGCAACTTCATCTGCTCCAACAGTGACCTTAGTGCAGCTCCCTAATGGGCAAACCGTTCAAGTCCATGGAGTTATTCAGGCGGCCCAGCCATCAGTTATTCAGTCTCCTCAAGTCCAAACTGTTCAGGTATGCATATGAAAGAGTTTTCAATCTGCATGTGTATAAGCTTCATACAGCCTTACTGATCTCCTTTTTTAAAAACCAGTGATAATTCAAACATGCGTGGTAATGTGGTTTTATCTCAAAGTAAACATTTGTTTCCTGTACCTACCCCTCCTTGCTGTGGTTTTGTTTTTTTTTTTGTTTGTTTGTTTGTTTGTTTGTTTCGTTTCTTTTGGCCAATATCTATTCTTATACCTAACATACTTTTCAAATAATGTAGAGATAGAATCAGATTATATTATTCCACCAGGCGTTTCAGCATTCAGTGTGACTTGGTTAAGGTATTGAAGAGAAAGCTCTTATGGTATTAAAATTTGATGCTAACTTTGACCTACTTCAGCACCTACTCTAAGTGAAATGTCCCTGCTGCAGTTAGGCAAGGTAGCAGAAAAACAACAAAGTTATTAGCAAAGAATGAGAATCTCAGGGACTGTGCTCATAGATATCTAATTAGGTTGAGTATTTAATATCCTGACAAGATGCTTAAAAAAAAAAAAAAAGTACTGTTGAATGCCTATCAACTGGGGAATGCCTAAACAAGTTGTGGTATATGATTGTGGTAGAATACTGTTGTATAGTATTGTACAGATGCACTCAGAAAACCTGGTAATACTTATGTGAACTGATGCAAAGGGAAATGAGCAGAACCAGAACATTGTATGTAGTAACAGTAGTATTGTACAATGAAGTACTTACGATGAAAAATGCTGTCCATCTCCAGAGAAAGAACTGATGGAGTATGAATGCAGATCAAAGCATACTTTTTTAAACTTTATTTTGCTTTGTGTTTTTTTGTTTGTGTTTTCTTTCACAAAAATGACTAGTATGGAAATGTGTTTTGCATAACATAACAGGTATAATTTTATCAAATTGTTTGCCTTTTGAAGTTGGGAGGGAGAGAATTTGGAACTCAGAATTTTAAAAAACAAATGTTAAAAATTGTTTTTACATGTAATTGGGGGGAAGTAAATATTAAATAAAAAAGATTTCCAAAAAAAGTATTAGCAGAACACACAAAAAAAAATTTTAAGTGCTGTTATTGCTTCTCAGACTCAAAATCCTTTCGCCCTGCCAAAAGCAACATTTGCTTTAATATTGACTTAAGTACAAAAATGAGCAAAAAAACCCATAAAAATGATTTTGAAAGATAAGGTTTAGGATGAAGAAATTAGAGGTCAAATGCTGCTATCAGTGTTCTCATTGATATATCATTAATATTTTCTTTTTGAAATAAGGCATTAAAAATAGCAAGCATTGAACAATATCCAAAATAAATGAAAGTGACTATATCTTAACGTACAAGATAGGACTAATAATGATTTATGTGAAACCATTTAACAGTTGGCTATCTTCATGTAGCCAAAACATAAAGTGAGTAGAGCAAAAGTCAAAACAATAACAAGTGAATATGAAGCTACTAATGCCCAATTACAGAAACTCCCATCTGATCGGTTTTATGGTGTTGACTCAGAAAATGTGAAAGTGGCTAAAGTAGAGCTCTTAACTCTGTTAAGAGTTTTTTTCTCTGTTTTTTTAAGGAAACAACCAATATGAAGTGGTTGCCCAAATGAGGTGTCCAAAGAGCCCAGAAACTCAACCAAGCACTTTACTTTCTGCCTAAGCAGAGTTGTAGCAGCCAAGATCAACACTAGCTTAGAGTATAAACTCATTTGCAAAACATTACCAAGAAGGAGAAAGGAAAATTATACATAGTATCATCACATAAAGCAACAAGAAATTGTCAAATAAATTCCTAGAAAGTTTTACGTAAATCCTGGCTAAGCTAAATATTTTCAGGGAACATTTGCATATGAAAGTAAAAGGATCCAGGATAACTCTCTGAATAAAAGGTACAGACTTCCCGGTTCCCACATAATGTACTCCCAATGAAATTTGCACCATACTGAATATTAAGAAACTACACTAAGTGACTTCTTCCACCCTAGAATAGCATAAAACGTCAACGAGAAAGAATCTTGTGAGCAAGAAAAGATAAGCAAGATCATAAGAAAGAGAGCTATAGGGGCAGTTAGATGGCACAGTAGATAGAGCTCTGGCCTTGGAGTCAGGAGGACCTGAGTTCAAATCCAGCCTGGGCTGTCCCTTACCCCAATTGCCTCCCCCCCCCCCCAAAAAAAAGAGCCACCAGCAAAGCCAGTCTATATGCAGGCAAATAAACCCTGTTTCCCAACATGACCAGTACCGCAGAAACCTTTAAGACGATGTCCAGAGGCATCAAAGGTGAAGAGTACCCTGAGAAAGCTCTGAGTTGGAGACTTTAGCCGCCCCAGACAGTGGTAGCTCATTGACTGGGAAAACCCAAGTTTCTAGATGTTTGGCAGTTCCTAGCACTCTATCCTGCAACACCAGAGAGGGCACTGCAGATCAAACACTCTGAGTCTCAAAGATCTAACTCTAGAAGTGGAAGTCAGCACAGAAACCCTCGAGACACAGGGCACCACCTAAAAGCACTGCCTCGTCATAAAGTGCCATTTCAAGATCTAAAGCTGGAGGGATGAAAAAAATCAAAATACCCACCATTATAAAAAAATTACTGTAGAAATAGAGATCTCTAAAAAAGTATGTGACTACCTAACAACTTCAAGAAATAACTCAGAAGATGGTTTTTCCCACAAGGGATATCTGAACACCTAAAAGAAATTAATCAAAGAATTAGAAGGAAAATAAAGAGCTTTGAAGAGAAAGTGGTAAACCTTACTCAAGTAACCACCTCCCTTAAAACAAGAATAGACCAAAAAGAAAACAGTGATTCCATAGGACAAAAGTGAAAACACAATCAGAAGATTAAAGAATAGAAGCAAATGTAACATACTTAACATCAAAAACAAACCAACCTGGAAAACGGTTCAGGGAGAGATATTTAGAAGAATCATTTAATTGCCCAAAAACCATGCCTTCCCTCCTAAAAAACAAGAGAAATTTTATAATGGGGTGGGGAGGGGGGCAACCTTGTAGCAAATAAGCATAGTCAAGCAAAATGAATGTACACAGCGACCTTGTCCAAAAAATTTATGTCTCCTTCTCTACCTTGAGTCCATTGTCAAAAAGGCTATAGAGAAGAGAGATGAGAATGAAATAAAGCATGATTGAGGATTTCTTAAAATCATGGTTATAAATCTAAATGACTTGGGAAAGTTTCTAGCACAGCAGATGTATTCTCAATATGGGATCTATAGAGTGATATAGGCAAGAAATGTTCAAGATGAGAGGCAACAGATGGATTGTGATATATACCGGTAGGAGGAGTATGTATGCTGATGAGATAAGTGAAGGTGATAAATAAGATTGCAAGTGTAAACCACTTTACAATGTTAGCATAGTAATTATAAAAGAGCCTAATAGAACTATAGAGAGGAAGAAAGAGAGCAGATGAAGTTGTTTTCTGATTACATTACAGTATCATTTATTACCAGTATGTGTAGACAACAAATCCTATAGGGAAGATTTATGGAAATCTGTGGTCAGGAGTTTCACTAGATAGAAGAGTATGGGTCATTTGTGATCTTGCACCAGTAGAGGGAAGTACTAATGCCAGTGAGATGAGATCCCATATCTGTTGAAATAATTATAACTTGTCATTTGAAGAAAGACAAATAACCCACTCCACTGTATAAATGCACCTAATTTCAATGTTTAATAAATATTTAATATGTCATGCAGTGACTTTATTATCCCTATATAGAATGAACCAAAATTTTATTTTGAAATGAAGTACCTTAGAATAATTATAAAGCCATAGATTGAATTAAAGAGCCCTTTGGGATGGACACTAGAGTTAAATAAAGCATGGGGATAGCAAAAGGTAGTTGTAAGTAAAAATTTGGTTGAGGCTGTCATGGGACCCCTTAGACAGCTTAAGAGTCTGTGTGAAAATCATAAAGTAAAACTGCCCAGATAGAATAGAACCAGAGTGCAAAATAGAATTGTAAGAATCCACCAGCCACCTCCTGAAAGAAATCCCACAATGAAAACTCGTAGTAGGAATATGATAGCCAAATTCCAGAACTCCCAGGTCACGAAAAAAATTATGCAAGCATTTAGAAAGAAAGAATTCAAATACCATGAACCCACAGTCAGAATCTCAAAAGATTTAGTATCCACCATAATAAAAGAGCAGAGAGTTTGGAATATGATATTCCAGAAAGCAAAAGAGCTAGGATTTTAACGAAGTAGACCTACCCAGCAAAACTGAATATGATCCTATAGGGGGTGGAAATGTAGGTTTAATGAAATAGAGGACTTTCAAGCATTCCTGATGAAAAGAGCAGAGCTGAATAAAAAATTTGAAATTCAAACACAAGACTCAAAGAGAAGTTTAAAAAGGTAACCTTGAATGAAAAATATGAGAAACTTATTAAAGTGTTTACATTTCTATATGGGAGGGTGATACATATAACTCTCAAGAACTTTATCATTATTAGATCAGGTAGAAAGAGACAGAGGGCATAAATGTGAGTCTATTATGTTGAGATGATCTCAAAAAAAAAAAGGATGAAAGGTTGAGGGGAAAAGGATTTATTGGGAGAAGGAGGAAGGGAAAGGAAGAATGGGGAAAATTTTCTCACGTAACAGGTGTACAGGGAAGAGTTTTTAGAATGAAGGGGAAAATGAGGGGTAAGGAGGCAGCACTTGGAACCTCACTGTCATCTGAAGAATCTATATATGAACACTGGGTTATAGTATTCATCTTACCCAACAGAGAAGTAGAAGGAGCTAAGGGGGGGGGGGGAGGTAAATTAAGGGAGGCAGTGATCAAAAGCTAAACAGATTTTTTTTTTAAAGTAGAGGACAGGGTTTAAAAAAAATAGAAGAGAATAGGATAGAGGAAAATGCACATTTAGCAGTCATAACTGTGAATTTGAATGGAATTGACTCACCCATAAAAGCCAAGAAAATAGAATGGATTAGAAACCAAGATCCAGTAATAAGTTGTTTACAAAAGACACATTTGAAACAGAAACGCATACACAGAGTTAGATATGTAGCTGGAGCAGAATCTACTATGCTTCAACTGAAGTTAAAAAAAAAAAAGCAGGAGTAGCAGTCATGATCTCAGACAAAGCAAAAGTAAAAATAGACCTAATTAGAAAAGATAAATGGAGAAGTTACATTTTGCTGAAATGTACCATAGACAATTAAGTAATATCAAGACTAAACATATGCAACAAATGACATAGCATTCTCACTCTTAAAGGAAAAATTAAATTAATTACAGGAGGAAATAGACAGTAAAACTGTACTGGTGAGGCATCTAGATGGCGCAGTAGATAGAGCACCATCCCTGGAGTCAGGAGGACCTGAGTTCAATCCAGCCTCAGACACATAACACTTACTAGCTGTGTGACCCTGGGCAAGTCACTTAACCCCATTGCCTAGTCAAAAACAAAACAAAACAAAAATTACAGGAGGAAGTAGACAGTAAAACTGTACTGATGGGGCAGCTAGGTGGGGTGGTAGATAGAGCACCAGCCCTGGAGTCAGGAGGACCTGAGTTCAAATTTGGCCTCAGACACTTGACACTTACTAGCTGTGTGACCTTGGGCAAGGCACTTAACCCCATTGCCTAGCCAAAAAAACAAACAAACAAAAACAAAAAAAGACTGTACTGGTGAGGATCCCCAACTTAGCCTTCTCAGACTTAGACAATCTAACCATAAAATAAATAAGAAAGAAATTAGGAAATAAATAGAATTTTAGAAAAGTTAGGTATCATAGAACTTTGGGGAAAAATGGGAGTAGGGAGGAGTATACCCTTTTTTTTAACTCTATATGGCACCCTCACAAAAAATTGACCATGTATTAGGGCATAAAAACCTCACAGACAAATGCAGAAATATTAGATACATCCTTTGGGGACCATAATGCACTAAAAGTTACATTCAATAAAGGACCTTAGAAGTATAGACTAAAAATTAATTGAAAAGTAAATAATCCTAAAGAATGAGTGGGTGAAAACAAATCATAGAAACAATAATTTTTACTAAAGATAATGACAACAACAAGACAACATAACAAAATTTGTTATTGGGATGCAGTCAAAGCAGTAAGAAGGGAAACATTATATCTCTAAATGCTTATATCAATAAAAGAGAGAGGGGCAGCTAGGTGGCACAGTAGGTAGAGCACCCCCCCTGGAGTCAGGAGGACCTGAGTTCAAATCCGGTCTTAGACCAGACACTTGACATTTACTAGCTGTGTTACTCAGGGCAAATCACTTAATTCCAATTGCCTCACCAAAAAAAAAAATTTTTTTTAATTAAAAAAAATAAAAGAGAGAAAGCACATCAATGGATTAGGCATGCAACTTAAAAAAAAAAATCCCTATCTAAACCCCAGAATAGAAATCCTAGAAATCAAAGGAAGGATTAATAAAATTGAAAGTTTAAAAAAAAAGTTGAACAAATAAACCTAGGAGCTAGTTTTGTGGGGGGTAAAAAGACATTAAAATAAACCATTAGTTAATTTTGTTTTTAAAAAGAAAGAAAACCAAATTGCCAGTATCGAAAAATGAAAAGGTTGATTGTGCCACCAATGAAGATGAAATTAAAGCAATTATTAGGAATTAGTTTACCCACTTAAATGCCAGTAAAACTGACGATCTAATTGATATAGGTGAATAGTTATAAAAAATATTAATTGCCCAGATTAACAGAAGAGGAAATAGAATTCTTAAATAACCATCTTAGAAAAACAAATTGATGAACAAGTTGTGGTATATGAATGTAATGGAATACTGTTGTGCTGTGAGAAAAGATGAGCAAGCAGACTTCAGAAAAACCTGGAAACACTTGTATGGACTGATGCTGAGTGAAGTGAGCAGAACCAGGAGAACGTTATACATGGTAACAGCCACATTGTACGATGACTAATGTTGATAGACTTAGTTCTTCTCAGCAATGCAAGGATCTAAGACATCTCCAAAAGTCTCATGATGGAAAATGCTGTCCACATCCAGAGAAAGAATTATGGAGTTTGAATGCAGATCGAAGCATGCCATTTGCTCTTCTGTTTTATTTTGTTTCTTCTTTCTTGTGGTTTCTCCTATTGGTTCTAATTCTTCTTTACAATATTACTGATGTGAAAATGTTTAATAGGAATGTATAGCCTATGTAGAGCCTATACCAGATTGCACTCTGTCTGGGGTAGAGAGTAGTGAGGAGGGAGGGTGAGAAAATTTAAAACTCAAAAACTTATGGAAATGAATGTTGAAAACCAAAAATAAATTAATAAAAAAAATTTTTAAAAAGAAAAACAAATTGAGCAACCATCAGTGAGCTCCCTAAGAAAAGACCCCAGGACCAGATGGATTTACAAGTGAATTCTACCAAACATTTAAGGAACAATTAATCCCAATACCATATAAAGTATTGGGGGAAAAATAGATTAAGAAATTTCTACAAATTTTTTTTTATGATACAAATATGGTTTTGATACCTAAACCAGGGAGAGCAGAAACAGAGAACTATAACCCAGTTTGCCTAATGAATATAATGAATATTGATACAAATAAATAAAACATTAAAATTTTAAAATACTAACTATAAGTATTAAATAGAATGTTATTAGCAAGGAGATTACAGCAATATATCAGATCATATACTATGACCAGGTGGTATTTATATCAGGAATGCAGGACTGATTGAATATTAGGAAAATTTGAAGCATAATTGGTGAATATCAATAACAAAAACAACAAAAATCATATGATTATATTAATAGATGAGAAAAGGCTTTTGACAAAACACCATACCCATTCCTATTTTAAAAAAAAAAAAAAAAACACTAGAAGGCATAGGAATGAATGGAGATTTTCTTAAAATGATTGGTACGGTTTATCTATAACCATTATCTGTAATGGAGATAAAGTAGAAGACTTTCCAGTTAAATCAGGGTGAAACAAGGACGTCCATTATCATTATTGCTCAATATTATATTAGAAATGCTATCACCATAAGACAAGAAAAAGAAATTGAAAGAATAAAAATAGGCAATGAGGAAATAAAACTTATCACTCTTTGTAGATAATCTGATGAGAACCCTAAGAGAATGAGAATCTTGAGAACCCTAAGAGAGTTCAGCTTAACTAGTTGAAGTAATTAGCAACTTAAGTGAAATTACAGGATATAAAATAAACCCACATCACTATTTCTATGTATTATCAACAAAGTCCAGCAGCAAGAGATAGAGAAATTCCATTTAAAATAGCTACACACAGTATAAAATACTTGGGAGTCTACCTACCAAGAGACAGGAACTCTACGAACACAATTTAGAGCAATCAAAATTAAACTGATGCACCACACCATTTGGGTGGAGAACCTCCACTACATTATTGGCTTGATTTGATCAGACTTTGGAGTAATGATGCATGGTTTAATGCCAAGGCCGGCCCAGGAATAATTTTCCCTAATTAAGCTGCTGGAACTGTCAAGATTCGTGGTTTAATCTCTGCAGATTAGATTTAAGGATGAAGAAGTATTGAAGACCTGTGTGGATAGTAGTTAGCATTTCAAAGGTCAGGTTTTTTGTTTTGTTTTTAAAGCAAAAATAGAACTATTGACCACTTCTAGTATTTCCAATAAAGTAAATATTATACAGTTGTATAATATTCCAATGGCTATGAAGTATTGTTCTTGCGTGACTCCTGTGGAGCTTCCAGAGCCTTTTATTTTACAGATGAGGAAACTGAAGGACTTTTCAAAGTTAAATGACTAGTCTACTCAAGATTAACTTCCTTCAGTACTTCTTTTGTTTGAGTATGAAGGTAACATTGACAAATTCTTATAGATCTTATAAGTTATTTGAGAATATTTGCCCTCTACATGGTAAAAGACTGAGAGACAAAAGGAATCAGCATTAATCTTTTTCATGAAACCCTTTATTCCATCCAAAGTATGTTGCTTATGTTCTTGACTTTCTCATATATGTAAAATATCTATGTGAACTGAACTCAACTGAAGTGGTACAATTTTGTTTCTTTTCAGATTTCTACTATTGCAGAGAGTGAAGATTCACAGGAATCAGTAGATAGTGTCACAGATTCTCAAAAAAGAAGAGAAATTCTTTCAAGGAGGCCCTCCTACAGGTACAGAAATTCAAACAATGTATATGGCCCTGTGTTTAGAGACTGGTGTTATGAAATTATGTACAACCTCAGCTCTTGGGTAGTTTATGTTCTCCTGGAAATAATGGATACCATCTTTCGAATTAAAGGGTTAGGAATGAAAACTTTGAGTTCGGTTAGTAGCAAACCAGTCCAGGGCTCTTTTTACAATACTACTTTACTTTATAAATACTACTTCTGGCCATTAGAGGCATTTGATCTGTGAGGATCCCCCTTGCTCAAACCATAGAAGAAGGAAAATTCCACAAATTCCCTTGCCAAAATTGACAGTGGTGATAATCAATTTTTTTGTTTTCCATTGTGGAGGGGATAGACCTGGACCTGTGTTTTCAGCCGAAAAACCACCTCAGTGGGGAAATTTTCTCTACCACTGTTGATCAGCATCATTTATTCAACTTAGAATCAGAGAGTTGTCCAGGTCACTGAGAGGTTAAGTGACCTGCCTGTGGTCACACAACTGTTTTGTGTCAGTGGCAGAACTTGAACGTAGGCCTTCTTGACTCCAAAAGGTTCTGTCCGCTATGCCATATTGCTTCTCATTATGCTATATATCTAACGTTATTGGTCATATCTCATTTATGTGTGTTTCTCTATACTATTTTATAGAACTGGAGAATAACTTGCATCTTATTTGTAGTCTTTTTTAATTGTCTAAAGACAGATCAGTTCAGTTTATTTTTTTAGAGCTAAATTCAGGTTCCTAAATGTATATTTATAAATCAATATTGAAACCTTCAGGAATTTTGCTTAACTGAATTCACTCTCTTCTTGAACTGAGAGTATTTTTACCAGCTTATAGTCAGTCTCATTTTTTTGTTTCCTGTAGGATATATCAACTTAGCATTATAACTTAAATTTTTGTGTATCTCTTAAGGGCAGGTTATACTGCATTTTTTAACATGAAGCAAATCAAAACAAGCAGTAAGAGGAAGCCATACATATTTTTTCTCTCTAGCAATAATATTTACTTTAATCTACAAATTCTTTACCACCCCATTCTCTCTTTAATTTCCTGAAATCTGGTTTTTATTCCTACTTTAACAAAACTTCTTTTTCAGAGATCATGTTGTCAAATCTAATGGGTGTTTCTGAGGCTTTATTCTCCTCTTGGGCTATTAACTACTCATTTTTTCTTAGAACTTTTTTCTAAAACAAATACTGGATTTGGAGTCAGAGGGCCTGAGTTAAATCTCAGCTATTCTGTTATTCTGACTCTCTGAGCTTCAGCTTCTTAGTCTGTAAAAAGGTTCAGGGTTATATATATACTCATGGCAGCTAGGTGGCACCATGGATAGAGTATGAGGCCTGGAGTCAGGAAAATTCATCTTTCTGAGTTCAAATCCAGCTTCAGACACTTACTAGCTATGTGGCCCTGGACAAGTCACTTAAGTCTGTTTGCTTCAGTTTCCTCACCTATAAAATGAGCTGGGGATATTTACCAAGAAAACTCCAAATGAGGTCAAAAAGAATCAAACACAACTGAAAAGCGACTCAACAACAAATATATATTAAGTAACTTCATAGATCCCTTTCACTTCTAAATCTATCCTCCTGCCTGAATTCCATGATATTGTACTCAACTGCTTCTCTTACCTTTCCAGTTGCTTTTTCTCTTTCTGGCTTATTGTTCTTCTTGCTTGGATATTCCATAAGTTTATACTCCCATGTTGTTGTTGTTATTCAGTCACTCAGTCCTGTCCAACTCTTTGTGACCTCATGGTCCCTTTTATCCTCCCCTATGTCTTGAAGTCTGTCCAAGTTCTTGTTCATTGTTTCCATGATACTGTCTATCCATTTTATCCTCTGCCATCCCCTTGTCCTTTTGCCTTCAATCTTTCCCAATATGAGGGTCTTCTCATTTTTTGCTCTTATACCATCAGTTATTTTCTGTATGTTCTCATCCTCAGAAAACTCAACACTTTTTTAGCTTCCCCTATCAATAATTTTTCAAATTTATGTCACCATTCAACATGTAGCTTTTATTTCTCTTTATTTTTACTTTTAGGCAGTTGGGGTTAAGTGACTTGCCCAGGGTCACACAGCTAGTAAGTGTCAAGTGTTTGGTTTGAGGTCGTATTTGAATTCAGGTCCTCCTGACTTAAGGGCCAGTGCTCTATCCACTGCGCCACCTAGCTGCCCCAACATGTAACTTTTAAAACAATCCTTATCGTCTTTGTCTTTTGGCCTTTTCGTTCTTTTCTGTGCTTTTGGGGGGGGGGTAATATAATTATTAAAGCAATGCAAAAGAGACAAGTAAGGGTCATGTTATTTTATTGCTATTATGCATATGATATATAACCACCAAGTAGTAAAGAGTAATCGTAATAGTTGTTGAATTATTTTTATTAAATACACAATTCTTATTTGTAGATGTCTGAAGGATTTTCTATCTGATCTAAATTATCAGATGTGCTGGTTATAATTCTCTCTGAAATTTTCCCAAAGCAAAGTAAATCACACTTTTTCTTGCCAATTTTATGCTACTTTTAAATGGCATGTGTTCACTGATAACAGCAGTGGTCATACAACAGCAAAATTTTCCATTTTGGAATATTTGGAGAGATTACCGGGGGAGTAATCCTCTAGCTTGTTCAAATCCAGTAAATCTATTAACTATTACCCATAAAACTGGGTTATGTCATTAGTCAGTCTCTTCAGTGATTTCAGTTATCCTTAGGTGTCGAATACAGAATTGATTGACTATTTCATCTATCCTTTTTTTTTTTGTTTTTATTTTTTTAATAATTTATTTTTAGTTTTCAGCATTCACTTCCATAAGATTTTGAGTTTTAAACTTTCTCCTCCCTTTCCTCTTTCCTCTTTCCTCCCCAAGATGGCATTTAATCTGATATAGGCTGTACTTACACATTCATATTAAGCATATTTTCACATTAGTCATGATGTGTGGAAGAATTAGAACTAATGAGAGGAACCACAAGAAAGAAGAAATAAAACAACAAAAGAAAAGGAGAGCAAATAGTATGCTTCCAGATGGCTTTCAGACTCCATGGTTCTTTTTCTGAATGTGGAGAGCATTTTCCGTCATGAGTCTTTGTAGTTGTCTTAGATCCTTGCATTGCTGAAAAGAGCTAACTCTGTCAAAGTCAATCATCGCACAGTGTGACTGTTACTATGTACAACATTCTCCTGGTTCTGCTCATTTCACTCAGCATCAGTTCATTTAAGTCTTTCCAGGTTTTTCTGAAGTCTTCCAGCTCATCATTTCTTATAGTACAATAGTATTCCATTACATTCATATACTACAACTTGTTTAGCCATTCCCCAGTTGATGGGCATCCCCTCAATTTCCAATTATTTGCCACCACAGACCTGCTATAAATATTTTTGTGCATATGAGTCCTTTTCCCGTTTTTATGATTTCTTTGGGATACCCTCCTAGCAGTAGTATTGTTGGATCAAAGAGTATGTGCATTTTTTTTAATGCTCAAATGACCTTCTTTTCTTTTTATTCTTTTGGCAACCCTATCCCTAGTCCCCACCTTTCCCCTCTCCCCATTTTTTTAAGGAGGGAAAGTAAATCAAAATCCACATAACAGGTATGGTTATCCAGGCAAAACAAATTACTACCATTAGCTGTATTCAGAATGTTTCCTGCAACTTGCATCTGTCACCTCTCTGTCAGAAAATGGGGAGTTTTATTCTCTGTGGTTTGTCATTGCATTGCATTGATCCTTAAATCTTTCAAAGTTGTTTTTATTTGCAATATTGTTATTGTTTTAATTGTTCTGATTCTCCACTTCATTTGGCATCAGTTCATATCAATCTTCCCAGATCTTTTTTTTTTAATTTGTTATGGTACAGTAATATTCTGTTACATTCATATATCATAATTTGTTCATCCATTCCCCAGTTGATGGGAGTACCTTCAATTTCCAGTTCTGTGCTGTAACAAAAAGCTGCTATAAATATTTTTATACATTTGGGTCTTTTTGGGGGGAGAAGTGGAGCAACACTATCACTAGGTACCCTCTCTTCCCCTCCCCCCTATCCCAGTGAAAAAAGGAAAAACAAATCCTGTAAAAAATTAATAGTCCCCCAATTCTTCAACATGGTCCTTTTGCTAGGTTAACTTCCTTACCATTCCAGAAACTCACTGTTTCTGGTTTTTTGCCTATAATACTATTCTGTCTGCAGTGTCCTAACTCTCATCTCTCACTAATTACCATTACACAACTTTGTAATGTGTTTCTGTCTTCTCTCTACAACAAGAATTTTAACTCCTAAAGGCTAGGGTTTGTGCATGTCTTTTTAAATTCCCCAACAGCATCTAATTCCAAGCTAACACAAAGTATACCTTTAGCATATTTTTATTGAATTGACTTTAATCACGTTTTAAATTTTCCTTTTTTGTTATTGTGAATTTGACAAACGTGAACAATTCCCTGTATGATTGAGCAGAAAAGGAAAGCATATAGAAAGTGAATTGTTTATGTTGTTTGTTTGCATTATCTATGTCCACTTTTAAACTCCTCTCTTCTATGTATTTTTACATGATTCATTCATGTTTTTTTTTTCCTTTTCTTACATTGTTTTAATATTACTATCCACGTACTCTTTAACAAAAAAAGGAAGCAATTCCTCCCTGCAGGAATGTGCTGGAGCTGATTTGTGCAGGCTCTGAACCTATTGTAATTTTTTTTTTTTTTTTGGCTAGGCATTGGGGTTAAGTGACTTGCCCAGGGTCACATAGCTAGTAAGTGTTATGTGTCTGAGGCCAGATTTGAACTCAGGTACTACTGAATCCAGGGTCGGTGCTCTATCCACTGCGCCACCTAGCTGCCCCTGTAAAATTTTTAGTGTGAGCATTCACACCTCATAAATCAAATTCTACAAATCAGTGTTTGATTTGTTGATTTTCTAGACTTAAAATGATGGCCAAAATGTTAATGATTAAAAATAATAAAAGGAAAGAAAATGTTAATAATGTAACTTAAACTGAAAAGTGGGTCCTGCATGTATTTTTTTCCCTGAGTCAGTTGTTAAATATTTCTGTTTACCAGCATACCCCCTTCTTCCAAAAAAAAAACCAAACAATTATAGTCAAGTAAACAAATCCACACATTGTCTACGTCGGAAATACGCACACATATTTCTGTACCTCTAGTCCATTACCTCTCTGCCGAGAAGTGTGAAGCATGATTCATCTGGATTTGTGGATTCATCTTCTAGAATGGTGATTAGTCAGTGCATTGATCTTAGTTCTTTGACAGTTGTTTTCAACCAACCCTTATTTCACACAGACAAGTCAGACGGAACTAGCTATCAATTAACAAACATCACTTAAACTCCTACTATGTGCCAGGCACTGTGCTGGGCTCTAGGCATACGAGTATAAAGAATGAAACAATCTCTCCTGCAAAGAGCTTACATTCTAATGAGAGAGACAAAAGTAGACATATAAATACATGTAACATAAATATAAAATAAATATGTATACACACACACAAAACAGTTAAATAGAAGTTGTTTTTGGAGAGAAGGTCCCTGTCAGTTGAGGGAGATCAGGAAAGCCTTCATGCAGAAGATAGTGCTTGAGGTGGTCTTAGGAAAGAGAGGGACTGTAAGGTAGAGGTAAGTAGGGAATACATTCCAGGCATGTGAAATGACCAGTGCAAAAAAAGTGAAGGGAATATGGCCACATAAAGCATACTAATCAGAAGTTAATCCACCTGGGGCTCAAACTGGGCTGGATTACTAATAACCACTCATTACTTACTCTTTTTTTATTTTTTAAAATCAGCCCTTCTACTTTAAAAAAAAAAATCAGCCCTTCTAGTTGGATTTCATGACATAATGATGGGGTATGATTAAAATGTGATTGATGTTATGAAACTAGGAAGGAAGCATGGCGTAATAAAGAGAGAGCTGGTCTTGGGACTCAGGAAGACCTAGGCTCAAGGTCTCCTTCTGACACACACTGAGTATGTGACCGTGAGCAAGGCTTGAAACTCTTAATGCACCAGACAACTCTATAAGTTGCAAAGCAGGTACCAATCTATATTCAGAGAAGTTTCCTCACCTGAAGTTCTAGTACCAATTAAATCATAGGCACACTCCCCTCCCCCTCAAAATGGTGAAAATATTGGTCTATAATATCATTCCAAGTGTTCATGTTTATGATAGCACAGTGTCTTTTAAAGCATGAGCAGTGACTTCATTCACATAATAAATTACTGTGCTTTTGCTATCAAATTCATGATAGTCTATGATAAATGGCATACTTCACTTCCGGTAGAATTACAGCTTTAGGGCTACAAGGGGACTGAGGCCCAGAGAGTTTAAGTTAGTTGTTCAATACATCACAGATAGTAAATGACAGAGCCACTTTTGGAACCCAAGTCTTTCAACTTCAAAACCAGGACTTTTTCAACTGCAAAACCAGGACTCTTTCAACTGCAAAAGGCTGTCCCCAAAGTCGTTACTTTCTTGACACAAACTGTATGAAACCTTTTTAATCTAGAATTAGTCATTGTATTAACTCTAACAATATTTATTTGTTTGGGGTTTTTTGTTTTTGTTTTTTGTAAAATGGATTATTTAGTTAGTAAATCTCCAGATTCCCAAATTTGTAGTCAGTCATAACCGCTAGTAACTTTTTTGTTATTCTCTGAACTTTCTTTTTCCTTGCCTTGGTCCTATTTAGGGCGCTTTGTTTCACTTTTATGCTGATTTGCATGGCTTACTGTTCTTCTAGGAAAATTTTGAATGACTTATCCTCAGATGCACCCGGAGTGCCGAGGATCGAAGAAGAGAAGTCTGAAGAAGAGACGTCAGCGCCGGCCATCACGACTGTGACGGTGCCAACTCCAATCTACCAGACCAGCAGCGGGCAGTACAGTGAGTGATGTGCATTCATACCCGGGGAAGCTGAGGGGGAGGGGAGGGAGTGGCTTGATTCTCCTTGCGTTTATGAACTGTGTGCAATATGATTTTCCAGTCTGACTGTTCACATTTCCCTTGCGATTGTCTTCCGTGTAAAGGGCTCTGACTGTTTTCTGGGGTCAATCGTGTAGCACAGCCTGGAGTCAGGAATGCCTAAGGTCGAATATGGCCTCATACACTTACTAGCTGTGTGACTCTGGGCAAGTCGCTTAACCTTGTATGCCTCAGTTTCCCTATCTGTAAAATGAATTGGAGAAGGAAATGGCAAACTACTCCAGTGTCTTTGCCAAGAAAGCCCAAATGGGGTTATGAAGAGTTGGACACAACTGAACAACACCACAAACTGTTTTCTAAAAGTGTATAATGTGACTAAAATGTGTAGGTTCATTTTTTTTTTTAAAGGTTTATCTCTCCTTAAGTTTACTTAGTAATTCATTTCAACAAAAATTAAGTACCTGCTATGTGCTAAGTTATGGAGATTCCGAGATGAACAAAATAACCCCTATTTTCAACTCATACAGTACAAAGAATGTATTCAAATAAAGGAAACATTTTGAATACATTTAGGACTAAAGGTAACCTTTCCTCCTTTTCCTCTCTAAAAATGAGTTCTTTCCCCAAAGTGTAGTTTTGGAAAGGACTCCCATCTCTGAATTTTTTTACAGTTGGTTTTAGTGGCTTGCCATATTCAAATCTATCTCTAGTGTATAGTAGTAGTTGATACAGTTGCATTTGGTAATATAGTGGGTCTGAACATAGAAAAATTATCAAAGTAAGAGGACCTGCTTTTTGCTTCTCAGAGATAAAATTCCCTCTTGCAAAATTCAGAGATTTCCTTTCACTCTAGATATATTCTGTTGTCCAGTTCTCTCGCTTAGACCCCTGTGCCTTTTATATAAAACTCAGTGTTGTCCATCATTTAGCTTCCTGGCTTTGCTTTCAAAAATCTATAAGTAAATTTACTTGTTGCTTTTCATCCATGTCCCTGACTCCCTGAATGGTATAGCTCAGTTGTTTGGAATAGTTTGTGCCTCAACAATGAATACAAATTCACAGCTCTCCAGGCTTGAAGTCATGTTTTCAGCCCAGGCACTATTAATTTTCTAGTATCGCTAGTTTAAAAATTTATCACTCTCCAAAGGAATAATCTTTAAAATGCTCCCCTTCCCCACTCAGGCCTTACCAATCCTGCTTATTGCTTTAGGAACTTATTTTGCCATTCCTAATTGAAATTTTTCACAAGGTAAAAGGAACGGTTTTAAAATAACGTAAATATGAAAAGAAACATATTTCCACTTATCCATTACCTAAATATTTTAGATCAAAAAGGAAGAGGTTTATGGAGAACGGAAATGAACAGAATATTTTAAAAGTAAAGTACTGCCCTTTTTTTTTTTCAGAACAGTTTTATTATATGTAATCATAGCAATAATAAACTGTGATTACAGCCATTATAATCTATGTCATTACTGTCTTGGTATTTAAATTGAAAGAAAGTTAAGTGAAGATGAGTTGATTACAGAGGGGAAAGAGTTAGATAGTGGATAGGGTTATGATGGGAGGGAGTTTATGCATGTTCTTTTTTTAAGGAAGGGGAAAACTACCAGTCAGGAAGGGAATAAAGAGCTATTAGAAGACTAATTGACCAAGGAGGGAAGAATATGGAGAATTCATTATACATTGTGTCTTTCTAGACCTTGATACTTTGCAAAGCATAGTAACATCCTCTATTCTTTTTGATAATTACGAAAACCGTGCGCAGGTCGAATTTTTGTAACTTTACAGAAGCAAAATCTGAAGCACGGAGAGGTTATATAGAGATAGAGCTTGTTGAAGAATGTACAGCTAGTTCGTATTAAAGTGAGGGCCAGAACCAAGATCCCCTGACTCAAGATCTGTACTTCTAGAACTCAGAAGACCAACTAAGTTGAATGACTTGCTGAAAGTTACACAAGTACTAAGTGTCAGAGGCAGGATTTGCACCCGCATCCTCTGACTCCAAAGCCAATACTCTTAAAAAAACTGATGATGCATTCTACATATTCTAGTCAGTTTGGGAAAATAGTTTTTATCATTGTGCTGACCAACTGACAGATTTAAAAGAGAACTTAGGGAAAAGTGTCTTTCACCTAATAATTTTACAGAAATATTTCACAGATATGAATCTGGAAGGGACTTTAGAAGCTATCAAGGCCATTTCCCTCATTTTATAGATGGGGAATTTGATGCCTACTGGCATGTACCTAAAATCAGAGGTTTTAGCTGATGTAAATATTTTCTCTCTCTCTGTCTGGATTCTTTTCTCTATCTCTCTTGTGCAGTTATCTTCTGTTAAATGAGCAGAACTACACCCTCTAACTCCAGTGATTTCCTAGTAATTACTATGATAGCTTGATTTTTTTTTTCCCCAAGTAAAAATAGTCTAGCTAACATTGTTATAAATTCAGCGCTTCTAGTTCTTTAGATTAGTGATCTACAGAGTAGGAGATGTATGCTAGGGATACTTTTTCATGAAAGAAAGAAAGAGCTCATTGCTAAATGCTTGGGATACAAATTACTATTAAAATAGTCTCTTTCTTTAATGAGCATTAATGAGCATGAACGTTAGGGGAAGATAACATTGGGTGGCCAAGAAAGTCTTTGACAGACATGTCAAAGTGATTGGTGATTCTATTCGTAGGACGGTTGATGGATAAGTCCTTACCAGGAATGATAGTGATGATTTGATTGCTCTTGGTTGATCTCATAAATTATAGACTTAGAATTAGAAAAGACTACAGAGACCATCAGTCTAACCCCTTCATTTTGGAAACTGAAGCTCAGAGAGGTTTAAGTGACTAGCCCAAGGACACACAGCTGGTAAAGTGTCTAAGACAGGTTCACGCTATGCCTCTCATGTAGAGTTGGAAAGGGGCAGGGGCAGGGGCACTAGCATAAAGGATACCCACAGAGACTGGGCAAGAGAATGTTTGTCCATTTGAGTCACAGTCACAGAAGCAAAGGCTTGTTAGGACCCCAACACCTGTGTGATCAACCAGTTGTAGGGTGAGAAATGGGGCATATCTTACTTATCCTGAAACAACCAGTGGTAGTCTTGTGTACAGCATAACTCAGATACTCCCTTCACCCAATGTCATATAATGCTTTCTTATTCTCTCCTCTTCCACCACTAGCAGTTAAAACTTAACCACTATTCAGGTAGATGTAGCAGCTGAATTCCCTATCTGTACACTGTATCCCCTCACCCCACTCCCCCTTTTAAAAATTTTTTTATTTTTTGTAATATAATTATTAATATAGTACTTGTATATAATTTATGTATAAATACACACATTGGGACTGTGTATTCAAACTTTTTTACTGATGAGGTGGATGACCAAAAAACTTGGAGACTACTTATTTAGAGATTTGTCTTAAAGCTTGAAGGTAGGTAGAGAGTCCTAAGTGTTTCCCTTATAAGAAACAAATACATATCAGTCATCTTTGTACATTGTCTCTGCTGGTTTGGTTAAATTTTAATCCTGTCTTAAAAGTCGTGTTGTCTGATGCTCGTTTTGTGACTTCTATCCCTTCAAGGAATTACTTGAGGAATAGCCGCCATAAAATATTGTATTTAAATTGAGTAGGAAGAAGAGCTTCAGAGGGGCATTTAAGATCAGTAGTTCAGTTTAACCCTCTCAAACCCACTCTTGTTTATTTTGTATTTATGGGGAGATGGGGGTGTTATGTACGCCTGTTGTCTTCTCTAATAAAATGGAAGCTCCATGAGAGGAGAGACTATTTCTGTCTTTGCCTTTCATTGCTCGGCATGGAGTAGATACTTAATAAATGCTTGTTGATTAATTTATTAGTTAGTATTTAGCCACTCAAGTTCTTTAGTGTAGATTTTTAAAGAGTATCTTTTCAGGGGCAGCTAGGTGGCACAGTGGATAGAGCACTGGCCCTGAAGTCAAGAGAACCTGAGTTCAGATGCGGCCTCAGACCAAACATTTGACACGTACTAGCTGTGTGACCTTGGGCCAGTCACTTAACCCCAATTACCTCACCCAAAAAAAAAAAAATAGTATCTTTGTAGTTTGCCCAAAAAGCTTTGTTTTGCATTGCTACTATAGTCATTTTTTCACATATAGTAACAAATGATTTTGGCTTTTATGTTGAGTCAGTTAAGTGCTTAATTTTATGAAGTAATGCTATAAAGTGGGATCCCAGTATCAGCACTTTGCATTTCAGTATCACTAGAGCTTTATAAAATATTTGCCTTAGAACACCCCAGTGAGATAGCTAGTACAAATATTATTCTCTCTGTTATAATAATAACAATTAACATAGTGACATACCTACATATCCTTTTTAAGGTCTTGAGAGTACTTTTCCACTTACTATAGATGAGTAGTTATCTTAGTGCTCTTTTTGAATAACAGATGTGATTACATTATTTTCTGTCAGATAAGTGATAGTTAATAATTACATAATGAAATAATGAGCATGGACTCACACCTTTGAGAACTCTTCCACATAAAATTCAGAAGTGATAGAACCTTTCTTCAGACATCACATTTGCTGTGATGAGGTTTTAGTTACAATAAATGTTTGGTGTTTTTTGGTTTTTGTTTTGTTTGTAAATATATGTATCTTGTAGTCTTTTATGGCTGTTATTTTTATTTTAACAGTAAAATTCTTTGGGTTTTAGTTGCCATTACCCAAGGAGGAGCAATACAGTTGGCTAACAATGGCACAGACGGGGTACAGGGCCTGCAAACATTAACTATGACAAATGCAGCTGCCACTCAGGCCAGCACTACCATCCTGCAGTATGCACAGACCACTGATGGGCAACAGATCCTTGTACCTAGCAACCAAGTTGTTGTGCAAGGTAAGAGAATTTCAGAATTTTTTAATGTATTGGGATTGTTCCAGAAGATTGTAACTTGACAAACTATAGCAACAAAAGTAAGTACAGTGTAAGTCACTGTTGGAAAGAATGCTCCAAGATTAAACATCTATTTTATTGATTATAGAAACTATAATATTTTTTCTGAAATGTTTCAGTATCTCTATTGGACTGGAATGTAATGGCACAAAAACAAGTATTTCCAGGTTTTAAAATGTAGTTTTGCTTTCTTATTGTTTGAGCATATTCAGGGATGAGATGTCATGTCATGTCATGTCATGTCATGACATGGAAAGTGCACTGAATGAAATTACTTTCTCATTGACTTGCTGTGTAACTTAGGCAAGTCCTTACACTACTCTGTGTGTCAGTTTTCACATCTGTGAAATGAGAAAATTGAACTAGATGATTTTTTAAAGTCCCTTTCTGTGTTAAAATTTTTATGATTTTTCTTTCCTTGAAAAGATTTTACCACCTCTTCTTTGTAATTAATCAGGGATTGCTTCCTGAAATAATTTATTAAGCTGAAAAATCTTATACATTCATGCCAATATTATGATAATAGTATGAGTTTTGTTTCCATGATTCTCTAATAGTAAGACTTAGCTTTGTTTCTTTTGAAGACAAATATAATTTCATCACAGAGGAAGTTGCAGTCTATCAACTTTTGGTTTGAAAAAAGCCTGTTTCTATTTTGGTTCTAGAATTCTTATAAAGAATTGGTCTTTTTGCTTTTGTTTTTTAGCCATATGGGTCTTTCAAGAATACTAATTCATGCCACATTGAGAATATAAATAATTGACAATAGATTTTAGATTTAATTTGTCATTTTAAAAGTAGAGTTTATAAGTTAGAGTAATAGATACTAGACCTATCACTTATTTCCTTAAAAATGTTCCATTGCAGATATAATCCTTTAATCCTTATGTGAGGCAGTAACTATTTTGCCTTTTCAATTTAGATATTTTCTTTTTGAATAATCTAAAAAATCAAATACATATTTTCTTAATTTACTTAAAGAGCCTAGGAGGTTTACAGAACATACCCTGTTACTAAAAAGAATAACGTTTTGAAAAACAATATACTGCATATTAATGGGAATAAAACACCTTTTCACTTTACATGCAGGTACTCAAAAAATGTAAAGCAGGATGTCAGTGAATTTGAATTCTGAACGTCAGTTTGAAGATGGTAACATGTCTTAGTATATAAATCTTAACTTTTCTCCCCCAAACTACACATTTTAATTGGTACTGATAAGGTGGTGGTAGGTCTTGGGAGTAAATATGAATAATTCATGAAAACTTCAGAGTTCTTTGAAATTTCTTTAAATTTCTTTTCCTTTGGGAATATAGATACTGAGCCTAGTTTAGAAGCAATTGGTTTGGAAAGAATATCGGTTGTGTTTCTTTCCATAATCATTGGTTATTTTGGTTAGTAGAACACAACCTGAATTTATTTACCAATTAAAACAGTGTCTGCGTGAATAATTTAGTTCTCTCAAAGCAACAGTACTTTTTGATAGTGTAAGTTTTGTGTCATTTTAAAAATTATAACAGTTGACCATAATGCTTTATTTTTTTCATCCATTTTGCTACATTTGAAAAGTCTTGGACGTTTTTATATCCTTGAAAGAGATTCTGCTTGAAATGTTAAAATCTGACTTTACTTATGTCAAAAGAAGGCATTGAGGACAATGCTCACTGTCTCAGAAGATCCTCCAAGCTAATTCCTACTTACCTTTTAGATCTAAAGTTGGTAAGCTGTTAACTGAATAGAAGTATCCTTCAGTGAAATAAAAATGATAATACATAGCAGTACAGGTCAAATCCTTTTCCATTCAAGTGGCTTTACTCATTGATACATTAAATTAGGAATTAGTTTCCATTGATGACCCGAACAATGCCAGAGTCCTCTAATCCTCTGATCCCATTTTTGTCCTTTGTCATGTTTATAGTGATACTAGTTTAACAGTTGCATATTGCAGTGCCTTAAAGTCTCATGCCTTATATCCCTATATTTTTATTTCTTTTCAGCTGCCTCTGGAGATGTACAGACATACCAGATTCGAACAGCACCCACCAGTACCATTGCACCTGGTGTTGTTATGGCCTCATCCCCAGCACTTCCCACCCAGCCTGCAGAAGAGGCAGCACGAAAAAGAGAAGTTCGTCTAATGAAGAATAGGTATGTATAATGCACTACCTTAGATTAAGTTAAAAACCATTTAAATCTTTTAAATGTGCTGTCCTTTGTGAATGAAGATGCACATTTTGTTCTTCTGGAAATGTAAGCTTAGCTATTTCACTCACTTCTTTCTGCCTGCCCTCACTTGTGACCAACAGCATGGATTTATTAGATAACTTACTATGCATGCAGTTTATATGCAAAGAGTTTTCATTTTTCTGTAGGAATTCTGTTTGAGGAATCAGTTGTATAGACTTTATCTCATTAGCACTATGCTTTAACCAGGTGGACCAACTGAAATTATTTTCTTTTTTAAAAGTTGGAAGACATTAAGGTGATGTGTGTTTTACTTTCCCTGATAAATGTATTAACTTTACAGATGTATCACTTTATGATTGGCATATGAATACAAAGTCTTATACTATGATCATTTTATCATTATTGATGCTAATTCAAGTAATAACTGCTAGTTCTATGCATGTGTAGTGTCTAATCCCTCTTCATATATCTTTGGGGTTCCATTTATAGTACCCAGGCTTTCCATTCATCTCTTGATTGTCATTCTTCCCATAAGACCACACTATAAGTTGGACACTTAAACTTCTCAGACATATATGTTCTTTTTGATATTATTTTTGCTCCTTCTTATTTGTTCTTTGGCAATGTGCTGAATTTCTATTTATATTTATACCTGTTTGCATCTTTGCATTACTCTGTGTTACTTTTAAGTTGGATTCTTATGAGATTATAATAGCCCGTGGTTCACAACTAGGTATTAGTAAATAGTACCCCACATAGTGCTTAGAAGTTTACAAAGTTTATAATCACCATAACCCTATGAGATAAGAGTTTACAGATGAATGAATGTTAGGTCGGAGAGTTAGTGCCTTGCCTGTGTTTAAAGCTAATAAGTATTGGAGGTGGGATTAGAACTGAGCTCCTTTGACTCTATGTCAAGTGCTCTTTTCCCCTGCAATGTAGTGTCACTGGGAGAATTTTGGCATCGAAGAGATAGGCTTTTATAGCAACAAACAGTTCAAGGTCTTTCAATTTCCCATTTGTTATCTAGCCCTATGTCATCCTACCATATTTTGGAGGTAGGAGACCTCTATACTTGCTTTGCATAGAAGATTACTATATAATAACTGAACACATTATACATCTAGAGTACCTGTCAAAGATTAATATATTAATACATTAATACAATACATTAACATTCAGTGGAATGAGTCACTAACTCAATGAATTCCCATTCACTAGCCTGGGTAATGCATATACCGTTTTCATTCACTTTGATTTAACCACTCACAGTGGACGAATAATGTCTTTTAGTGGCTTTTACTGTGGATTTTGCTGAAGAGACTTTGTCAGGTTCTGGGGTCCTGTATAGTTAGTGTAATATCCTCAGCAAATAGCGTTTTTGAGAACCTTACCATCCATAGGGATTTTTTTTTCTTTGACTTCTGTGGAAATCATCTTCTGTGACACTACAAGAAACACCTCAGGTGAGTTTGTCTTCCTATTTTGCATATTTCTTGATGTAATTGTATTCAGATTATTGACCCAGATTGTCTTCACAACTACATCTGGCATAATTTTACATGAATTTTTCAAAAACACATGGAAAACACCTTTTTTTGAGGAAAGCCTTCAAAGTTACATTTTGTTCTACTGAAGTAACTGCCTTGTTAAAGTAGAAGAAAATAATTGAGTTAAGAAGTTTTTTAATTATTTTTATTTCATTAAATATTTACCAATTACATGTTAAAAAATTAACAATTTTTTAAAAAGTTTTGAGTTCCAAATTCTTTTCCTCCTTCCTTCCTTGAGAAGGCACTCGATTTTATATCCAACTGTACATAAGAATTCAATGCAAAACATATTTCCACATTAGCCATGTTATAAAAGAAAACACAGAGTATAAAAATAAAGTTTTTTGCTTCCATCTGCATTCAGAGCCCTTCACTTCTCAAGAGAGGTTTTAAATTGTGAAGGAATCAGGTGGCAGCAATATTCATGGTAAAGTAGGAAGGTCATGTACTGCTGACAGAGTGGTTAATATTAAGTTACCTAGTGCCTTACTAGGCAGTCTCTGAAACATTAATCTGGAGATGAGCTCACTTGCACCCATTCTTGATATGGTATCTATAGACAGAATCTGATCTTCCCACTTGCTTGATCCATGATGATATACACTGTCTTATAGGAGAATTAGCAACCAGGTCAAAATTCCTACCTCAGAGCAAGATGTCTTATCCCACCAGCTTTTGTAATTCTGTGCTCAGTGGAATGAGTCACTATTCCCACTGGGCTACACTTAGACTTTCTGGCCACTCCTTACACTCGTTGCCACTGCTCAAATCTTTGTATCCCTAGTGTCTATCACGGTGCCTGATATGAATGTAATTGTTGAGTAGGTGTTTGCTAAATTGAATTAAAATCAACAAACACTAGACATAGTAGGATCTTATTTTCTGTGTACCTCTTCCTTGTGTGTTACAGTAATGATGTGATCTAGCATAGTCAACAAGCACCTACTAATAATAATTAGCATTTGAGCTTAAAATTTGCAGAACACTTTATAAATCCTCAATCATTTGATCCTCACAATAAGCCTGAGTGGTAGGTACTGTTTTTATATAAGGAAATTGAGGCCTACAGTAGTTAAATGACTTATCCAAAGTCACAAAGTTAATAAGTACTCAGGATAATCAGGTCTCCCTTACCCCAGGTCTAACACTTATCTGTTCTACTACATAACTGCCTACTATATGCAAGGCCTGCTAATTGCTGAGAATACCCCCAAAAAGGCATAAACAGTCCCTTGCCCTTAAGGAGCTTACAATCTAATGCAAACATCATGCAAATGACCATGTACAAATTAGGAACAAGATAAATTGGAGATATCTCAGAGGGAAGACATTGCTCATTAAGGGGAAGAGGCATAGAAAATTGTCTGCTTAAGTCTGCCTGTTCTCATCTTATGTTTTCATAATCAAGGACCCCCTTGGTGTGAAGATTTTATTAAAAAATTAGAAAGTAAACATATGGGTAGATTTTTATTTATTGTATTTTATTATTTTATGTCCCTGGGATGGAGATGTCCAAGGAGAAACTCTGAAGAACCATAGTAAAGCGTGTCATCGAAGAGTTATATGACAGAAAGAGAAAATTAGTTGATCATATGGCAAGGAAAAGAATTACAGGCAAACAGCCAGGATGCTCCACAGATATTACCGTGATGTTGGGAGAAAGTGAGGACTATCTCGCCAACGTTGTATGGACCTCTAGTCCAACACAACTTTGCGGAGGATGTGGGTAAGGATGGGCAGAATTAGATGAGTTGGGATCTACAGCTTTGGAGGGAACTCCAAAACTGATTAGATTCCAGATCAGTTTGAGTAAGAAACAATGGCAGTTTTTCTTTTAGCTCAAACATCCTTCGAAATACAATGGCACAAGACAGCTAGTGTATTTCACAGTAATGTGGAGGCACCCTCTCCGTTGCCCCTATATTGTCACACACAATTTTGTAAAAAAATTTGCTTTTAATGAACTTGTTATGACTTTTGTAACAAATAGATGGGGGTATGGGGTGGTTAGTGGACTCAAGCTCAATATGGATCAGCAGGATAACATAACCCTCCTTCTCCCCCGCAAAAAAATAACGTAATCTTGGCCTGCATTAAGAGCATAGTTTCTAGGAATTAAGTATGTGTATGACAAGCCCGCTGTACTCTGCCCTAATCAGACCTGATTTGAATTACTGTTTTCTGTTTGGGGCACTACAGTTAAAGGACTGTAGATAAAATACAGTTTAAGGAAAATGGAGGAAAACTTGATAGTGTCTAAAGGAGGGCAGCCGGGATGGTGAAATGCTATGAATCTTTGTCATATGAGAATCAGCTGAAGGAACTGAACATGTTTATCCTGAAGAAGAGAAGGGGGGTGGGGGTGGGGGGGTGGCTTGCTAGCTGTCTAAAAGTCATTGAGGAGCTGCATGTGGGGAGGGGCTAGACCAGATAGACAATACAATGAGACCTTAGACTGACAATTATAGAACTATCCTCAAGTGGAATGAATTTCTTCAGGAGGTTTTGGGCTCTACTTCCTTGGAAATCTTCCAAGCAGAGACTGGATGACCACTTTTCAGGCATGTGACAATAGGGATTCCTTTTCCGTATGGATTGAACAAGATGACCCCTGAGGTCCTTTCCAACTTTTAAATTCTATGATTCTGTGTCCAAATTGCAAACAGGGCCACATTTTAAAACTTCACTTTGTTCTGACGTGAATTAAGTTCCATTAATACAGAGTCCCATACAATTCTTCCACATTATATATAATTTTCTTTTTTCTTTTTTGAAAATTCAGTTATATTGAAAATTCCTCTTGATATACATTGCTATTAATAGGTTTGCAAAATAAAAAAATCTTCACTGAGTTTCAGCAATCAATACTACATATGAAATAAGTGAGCATCTACTGCTTTATCCTCTTGCTTTGGAAAATAACCAAGATTTTGATTTTTCAGTTAATTGAACAAAAAGGTCTTCAGACACAGGAATAATTTTCCTTCCCACTATATTATATGCAAGTGGCACTAATGGAAGCTACTTTGCATGATTCACCAAGTAGCTTCATTCATCATCCATATATCAGCAACTGGACATAGCAACATTTCTGTCGCCGAACTTGGCTTTTTCTAATTGAAAATTCTGTATGAACAACCTTATGTGATATAAGTAATCTTTTTCAATGTCACAGACATGATTTTTTTTTAAAAGCTTATTTTTGCAAATTAAAAGATCTCATTTTCTCTGGAAAGATTCTTGTATTGCCAGTGTGTTCTGCATGGACAATTTGAATGAGTTAACAGAAACTTACTATGTGTCAGGCATTATGCTAAGTGTGGGGATATAAAAAAATACAAGGAAACAGAAACAGTACCTGCTCTGAAGGAGCATACATTTTAAAGGGGGAAACAACATGTGGCTATC